GGGGAGGAGAAGAGAGGAGGAGGAGGAGGAGAGAGGAGGAGGAGGATGAGGAGGAGGAGGAGGAGGAGGGAGGAGGAGGAGGAGGAGGAGGAGGAGGAGGAGGAGGAGGAGGAGGAGGAGGAGGAGGAGGTGGTTGTGGTGGAGGAGGAGAAGGAGGAGGAGTTGGATAAGAGCAACAGGAGTGTAGGCGGGGGTGGAGGGGGAAGCCGACCTTGCGGGCCCAAGGGGGAGGAGGGGGTAACGAGGCAAAGTCGCACCCTTGTAGGCGACCCCCTGGCGCAGGCTGAGTCGCTGGCAGAGCCACGGAGCCCAATAACATCAGAGTGAAGGGTCTGAGCCGTCGTTCGCTGTCTTCCGAGGGTGCGTGGCTGAAGTAGGTTTCGCAGTGTGGATTGTTGTTGATGGTGTTGAGTGTTGCTGCTGTTGTCGGTGTTGTTATTGTTGTTGGTGTTTTTGTCATTGTCGCTGTCGTTGTTGTTGTTGGTGGTGGTGTTGGTGTTGCTGAGTTCTCACTTCAAAAGAATAACTGCTGGTGATCCCCATCCTCCTGGGCACACGGCGTTTTGTTCAATTGACGTGCCCTTCCTGGGGCTCGCACCCTGCTTGTTCAACAAGAACACTCATGTTAATATTGATCGTTCTTATATGCTCGCGTGTCACCCAACACGTATATCCCAAACCCTCGATACCCGCCCTCGTCGTCTTCGGTCGTACCCCCTTGGGGGCATATGTTCCTCACCTGCAACGTGTATGTGTCTTGCAGCCCCTGAGGCAGGGGAAGAGAGAACGGACGGATGGAAGGGACAAGGGGAAAGGAGGATGCTGGAGCACGAGAGAGAGAGGGTAGCAGAAGGGGGGCTAGGAGGAGAAAACAAGTGGCAGAACCAGGCGGGCAGATCGGGCGGATTATTCCCACATCGCGCTCTCGCGCGGGATTTCCTCACAATGTATGCAAAAATCGCGCTATCGCGTGGTGCGCCCTCGCAATTTATTATAGCATCGCGCTTCCAACCCTTAGGAATCAGGCTGTCGCTCGGGCCGCTTTCATGATTTACTTGGGAAGCGCGCTATCGCTTGAGACTTCCTCGCGATTCATGCTCACGCTTCGGCAGCCCGCCTGCTCGACCTGGCCGCCCGGGCCCGCCTTCCCGATCCGCCCGTTAGGGTCTACCCGTCCGGTCTGCCCGTCTGGTTCTGCCACGTGATTTTTGCTCCTAGCCCCCCTCCTGCTAATCTCCTCTCGTGTTCCATCCTCCCTCCCTCTTCCATCCGTCCTCGCTTCCCCTGCCGTAGGGGCTTCGCCAACTACACGCGGCAAGTAGGAAAGATATACCCCACGGGGGGCACGATCGAAGACGATCAGGGCGGGTACCGAGGGTTTGGGATATACGTGTTGAATGGTATGCGAGCAGTCTTAAAACTTGTGTTGTTGCTGTTGCTGTTGGTGTTGGTATTGGTATTATTATTGTTGTTGTTGGTGGTGGTGTTGTTATCGCCCCCCGGATTACAACAACAACAACGGCTCCCGCTTGAGACTTCCTCCAGATGTACTCAGGACCCCCCGCTCCCGCTTGAGAATTCCTCACGATCTACTCAGGATCGGTGCTACCGCTTGTGACTTCCTTGCAATTTAGTCAGGACCCCCGCTCCCATCTAAGACTTCCTCACAATTTACTCAGGAATGGCGCTCCCGCTTGAGACTTCCTCGCAATTTAATCAAGACTTCCTCGCAGTTCAATCAAGACCCCCGATCCCGCAAAAGAGCCCTTCACATTATTCAGGAATTGCGATCTCGCCTACGTCTTCCACGCAATGTATTCAGAAATCGCGCTTCCGATGCGTAAGAATCACGCTGCGCCAAGGACGCTGTCACAAATTACTTAGGAATCGCGGTCTCGCCATACTCGAGCATCCCGCTTGAATGTCCCACCCGCCCGACCCGCCCGTTAGGGGATCGCCCGCCCGTCGTGGGCTCCCGCCCGAGACTTCCTTCGGGAACGGCGCTTTCGCTTAGGACTTCCTCGAAAGTTCACGCTCTTACCTTCCTGCTCCTCCTCCCTCTCCCTCCTCCCTCCTCCCTCCTCTCCTCCCTTCTCTCTCCCTCCTCTCTTCCCTCATCCTTATGCCTCTCTGCCCTATCCCCTCTCCCTCCTCTCCCTCCTCCCTTCTCCCTCCCCTCTCCTGCCTCCTCCCTCTTTCTTTCTCTCGTTCCCCTCTCTCTCTCTCTCTCTTCCTCTACCTCCCTATCTGTCAGTCTCTCTCTCTCTCTCTCTCTTTCTATATCTGCCTCTAATCAACCGCCCCCCTCTTGGCTCCTTCTCTCCTGGCGTTTCCCCTCTTCCTTCGTCCCTCCCCCTCCCTTCCTCCCACTCTCCCTCGTTCTCCCCCCTCCTCTTTTTGCAGGGCCCACACCAATTCCAATGGCGGGCACATGTACGCCAACGAAGGATTGTCCGCCCGTTCAGGTTTGCCCGCCTGTCTAAGCCCGCCGCCCCCCCGCAAAGAGAAATAATCCCCCCAAAGGGGGTGTGATCGAAGACAAAACAGGGCGGGTATCGAGGGTGTGGGGAACTCGTTTTGATTGACACACGGGCAAGTCAGAACGAACAGTCTTATACTGATTGTTGTTTTTGTGTTTGTTGTTGTGTGTGTTGTTATTGCTGTTGCTGCTGATGTTGTTGTTGAGTTCTCACCATCGAAAAATAAGTACTGTTGATCCCCCACCGGGGCACATTGCATTCTTTAATTGCAGTGCCCTCCCAGGGCTCGTACCCTGTTTCTTGAGTCTCAGAATTGGGTTACTGCCCCCCGGTTTACAGCAACACCGCCCCCCGCGTGATATTTCCTCACGATGTATGCTGGGTCTGCCCGCCCGATCTGCCCGTTGGGTGGTGCAACGTGTTTTTTGCTCATAGCCCCCTCTCCTGCTACTCTCTCTCTCTCTATCTATCTCTTTTTTTGTGTTCCTCTCTCTCTCTCTTGCTCCATCCTCCTCCCTCCCCCTTGTCCCTTTCTTCCATCCTTCCTCCTACAGCTATACCTCCAAGGGGGTACGGTCGAAGACGAAGAGGGCGAGTATCGAGGGCTTGGGATATACGTTTTGAATGGCACGCGATCAGCTAAGACCGAGCAGTCTTAAAATGAATGGTGAATGGTGTTGGTGTTGCTGCTCCTGTTGTTGTTGTTGTTGTTGTTGTAGGTGGTGGTGGTGGTGGTGGTGGTGGTGGTGGTGGTGGTGGTGGTGGTGGTGGTGGTGTTGCTGTTGTTGCTATTGTTGCTGTTGTTGTGGTTATTGTTGTTGCTGTTGTTGGTGGTGGTGTTGTTGTTGGTGGTGGTGGTGGTGTTGCTGTCGTTGTTATTGAATTCTTATTCCGAGAGAATTGGTATTGCTGATATCCGGAAACGGTTCCGCGCGCTCTCGCCTCGACGCTGGCTGCATTTCCTCTGATAACGAGGTTCCCGCGCGAGCGCGGGCTTGATTGTAAATGTACGCCCTTGGACGCCCGGCTACGACGACAACGGCTCCCGTTCGACATCTCTTCGCAACTTACCCCGAGACACCCTTGCCAGAGAGGCCCCCGAACTCAAGAACGGCGCTCTCGCTGGAGACTTCTTCTCCATACAGTAAAGGTGGCGAAGGCCCAGCCACGACGACAAGGGCGCCTGCTCGACACTTGACGATTTACCCCGAGAGCCCCTGGCCAGGAAGGCCCTCGAACTCAGGAACGCCGGTCTCGCCCGGGACTTCCTCGTAATTCAGTCAAGTTGTTGGAAGCCCAATTATTATTCCGACAGGCCCGGGCCAGAGAGGCCTCCGAACTCAGGAACGGCGGTCTCGCTCGAGACTTACTTCAGTCAAGCTGGTGGAGGCCCAACTACGACGACAAGGGCTCCCGCCCGATGCTTCGCCACGATGTACTCCGAGAGGCCCGGGCCAAAGAGGCCCCCGAACTCAGGAACGGCAGTCTCGCCCGAGACTTTTTGGGGGGCCATCTACGATGACAAGGGCTCCCGCCCGATGCTTTCTCACGATTTACTCCGGGGGGCCCTGGCCAGAGAGGCCCCCGACCCAAGCCAAACCCCTCCTTCTCCCTCCCCTCCCCTCCCCTCCCCGCTTTTCCCTCCGACCCAAGCCAAGCCCCTCCTTCTCCCTCCCCTCCCCTCCCCTCCCCGCTTTTCCCTCCAACTCTCCCCTCTCTCCCCTCCCCTCCCCTCCCCTCCCCGCTCTTCCCTCCAACTCTCTCTCGCTCCCTCGGAGAGGCGTGCCGCTCCCTTGCACGGGAGGGCCCGGACGAGTTCGGGAGGAGGGCCACCGGCCGACCCGAGGGGTTCGCGGAGGCACTTGTCCAGTGCGCCCGCGGCCCCGCCACTTGACAGGAGGCCCTGTGGGGCGGCGAGCGATGGGGGGAAGGGAGGAGGAGAAGGCCTTCTCAGAAGGGTCGGAAGTCCCGCGGCCCTCTGAGAAGTTTTCTGGGCTTCCCCCAAAGAGACATCTGAGAAGCCCCGCCGCCGCCTGACAAGGCCTTCTCCCTCTCACTTCCCCCCCTCCCTCGCCGCCGATGTGTGGGGCAAGGTTCGAGTAGGGGATCGACTCCAGAATTGATCCACCCCAAAATCAGTTTGTCCGTCGAACCTGCGGAAAAAGTCGTGGAATGATCCGTGGATCTCCTGAGCAGTCTGTTTATTGTTTGCAGGCTCGAGGGACAAAAGTCAAGTTTGGCGTAAATCTATTGTGATCTATTGTGTTGCCTGGCAGCTCCCGGCAGCTCCTGCAGCCTCAGCCTCGGCGCAGCCTTGCGTCCCCGGCGGCAGTCCTGCAGCCGCCTGTGCACGCGCTAGGTCCAGTAGTTCTGCTCGTAGCCCGAGCTGACTCGTTTCGCCGCCGGCGCCTTCGCCTGCGCTTGCGACGACACAAAGTAAATCCGTTGTGTAGTCGACCCCTGCTCGCAAGGCGTGCCCCCCTGCACTTTCGGCAGCAACGAAGGAGCCTCCCGCTGCCGAGGGCCCGAGGGCCTCGGGAGCCGCGCCCCGGGGCGGCGCGGCGCCGGCGACCCCCCCCCGCCTGGGCCCATGGCGCGCCAGCGGACGCCGCCCCGCGGGAGCACGCCGCCCCGGAAGCTTCTGCGCTCCGAGGCGGCCCCCGGCCCTCAGGCCTCGCGGGCGCGGGGCTCACCGATCGGCACGAACGACATGGGTGCGGAAAGAATGGGTACAATGCTCACCGACCGAAGTGCAGCACATCAGACCCACCCCCAAGTTTGAACATGGGGGGAGGGGGAGGCGTTGACCGATGAATGTGTGGGTGTTCGCTATTTTTTTTTTCCGAGGCCTGTAGTCGGGACGACCGACATGGGTACGGAACGGATGGGTACAACGCCCAACAGCAGTTCCCGTTCACTTTGAACAGGACTCGCTGTCGGTGTCGCCGCGGCCTGTGTCCACTTGAGACAGAAGGCCGCCTGCCCAGCAGCGGCCGCTGTTGGTTTGGGACAGCATTTGTTGTTGGGCATTGAGCCCATTTTTTCCGTACCCATTTCGGGCGTCCAAAACCGAGCGCGCTCCGCTACAGGCAATCCGCACAGTGAGGATGGGCGACCTTTCTTAGAGCACCCCTGCATCCTTGCCCCCTCGGCCCATCCTCGGCGACTTCCGCTGGCCGACCTCGTCCTAAGAGCGTCCACTTGGCTTTCCAGGGCCCTTGCATCCTTACCGCGCATCCTTCTGATACAGGTTGCCTGTGCTCGCAAAGTGCCTACTCGCAAACGTCAGAGAAACACGTGCTTGCCTCGGCGTAATGGATCGTGAATCCGCCGCGGCGGAGCCAGGCCAATTGCGAGCAGTTTACCCTGCGAGCTGTGGACCGCGCTTATCTATGGGCGGGGAGGCGCAGGGGCAACGATACAGTCAGAGTCAGGGCGCTCAACAAGGACCACCTTGCGCCCAGGAGGGGCTCTGCATTTCGGGCCGTTCCTCAGGTCCACGTCGGGGAGCCTCTTCCTGGCCGAGGCTCGTTGTGGCCAGGAAAGCCCCTTCGTCCCTTATTCGGCGTTCCTTCTGGTAGTACGATGGCTCGAGGGAGGCATCGGCATTGGCGGGGACGCATCGACCCCAAATCGTCCACTCCTCGCCGATGGGTGGCCCGATAGCCCCACCCCGCTCAGGAACGTGGGAACTTGCCACCTAAGGCCCATCGCCTCTCCATCGGCGACGTGTCGCCGATTCCAGGTCGATGCTTCCCACCCTGTGCCAGTCCCCCCCCTATCGCTGCCCCACATTGGCGGCGGTGACATCCGGACCCTACCGTCGCCGATCAACGGCTCAGGCAACTCGATTGGCGGCGGGGGTAGGTTTCGGAGTTCGTCAATCACGTGCCGACATCCGAACCATGCCCCCGCCTCCCATCGACTCAGGAGAATCGATGGTTGGTGGGGGTATGGTTCGGACGTCGCCACTTCTGAAGAAACATAAACTTTGGAGCTCCGCGCGGGTTTCTTGCATCGGTGGTGGGCCCCACCCGGCGGCGCCTCCGGCGCCGCCCATGGCGCGCCAATCCAGGAGATCCGCGCGGAGCTCCAACAGTTTATCTTTTTGCCTTGTTTTCTTCCTCCAGGACTTGGAAGAGGAGGAGATGGAGGAGGACGAGGAGGAGGCGGAGGAGGAGGAGGAGGAGGAGAAGGAGGAGGAGGAGGAGGAGGGAAGAGGAGGAGGAGGACCAGTGCAAACCCAAGACGCATCAGCGGTGTTGCAATAAACGCTCCCTCGGAGTTCCCTTCTCACAGGTTCCTACAAGAATTTGCCTGCATTGAGGGGAGGAGGCTGTTTTTTCCCCAACACTCCTGCGTTGGGCTTTCGTTTTGGAGAGAGCACTGCGGTCGAGGCCTCCTTCTCATCCTCCCGCCTCCCTCCTCTCTTCTCTCCGCCTCTCTTCTCTCCTGCTCTTCTCTCCTGCTTTCCATATCGCTTCACCTGCCTGCCAGTTCCCCTCTAACCTCGCCGTCCTGTGTCATCTCGTCATCCCTGTGGTACTGCGAACTGCGAAGCTGTCGCCACTTTCGAGGGCTGCTGGGGGTTGTCTATCGAAGTGACGTCCTACGCAGATTCAGAGCAGACCTCGCCATCCCTGGGGTGCTTCGAACTGCTAAACGGTCGACACTTTCGAAGGCTGCTAGGGGGGGCCCACCAGAATGACGTCCTGCGCGGATGTAAACTGGACCTGGCCATTTCTGGGGGGGGGGGGGGGGGCGGCGGCGAATTACGAACGTGTCGCCACTTTCGAGGGCACTTTCGAGGGCTGCTGGGAGCGTCCAACGGAGCGACGTCCTACGCATATTCAATTTCGACCTCGCCATTCCTAGCGGGATGCGAGCTGCTAAACTGTCGCCACTTTCGAGGGGTGCCAGGGGCCCGAAACCCCTCCTGAGCCGATCCATGACATCAGCAGCTATGATTTAGAAAAAGGCAAAGGAAGAGCGCACGGCGGAGGGGAGGCTCGTTGACTTCCAAATTGGGGATGGAAGAGGAGGAGGAGGAGGAGGAGGAGGAGGAGGAGGAGGAGGGATGGGGGAAGGGAGGGAGGAGGGAGGAGGGAGTAGGAATGAGGCAGCAGGAGGAGGAGGAGGACCAGTGTAAACCCACGACTCATGAACGATGTTGGAATAAGCCTTCCCTCCAAGTTTCCTCTTCATAGGCCCTTGAGGGCTTCATCCCCATTGAGGGAAGCGCCCCGTTGGGGACAACCAATTGAATATCCTGAAGCATGCCAAAACACCGTTATCGGAACCCCAACGCCACGAATTAAGTTGACTGTTGCGTCTGGGCGATCTTGCATCGCGCCTGAAGACAGTTCATGGGAATTCAGAACGGCGGATCAACATAACTGTTGCGCCGTGGCAGCCCTGAACCGTTCCAGAGCACCGTTTCTGGTATGTTGACCATGGGAACCCGTGAAGTTGTCGAATTTCTGTTCAACGGCAACGAATATGCGCGGCGCTAAGGCGAGAGCCACAATTTGAGATGGAACCGCCCTCAACCCGCTAAATGATTGCAGCTTTTTTTAAACGAGTGTGCGCGGTGCTCAGGCGAGAACCACATTTTGAAAACCGCCCGCCCCTGATCCGTGAAGCTCTTGCAGTTGTTTAGAACGAATGTGCGTGGCGCTACGGCGAGAGCCACATACATGTTTGCAGCGAGCCGCTTTTCATGTGCGAAACTATTGCCAACTTGAAAGCTCATGTAATGATCATCAATGGTAAGGAAGTCTTCGGCGAAACGACCACCCCGCCCTTCCGACTTGCCTCGGGTGCGACACGGAATAATCATGTCTAAGGAAAAGGAAGAGGAAAGGAAAATAAAAAGGAAAAGGAGGAGGCGGAGGAGAAGGAGGAGGAGGAGGAGAAAGAGGAGGAGGAGGAGGAGGAGGAGGAGGAAGAGGAGCGGCGGTCTCGCCAACTACTCTCGCCAGCTTCGCCAACTCTGGCACGCGGTGGCGGAAGTGGCCTGTGGGTCGTGTCGTGTCTTGTTGGCGCCACCCGCGTCTGCCCGCGTCGCTTCTGTCTCCAGGTCAGGACCTCCTCGCCCCCTGCTGCTGCTTGCTGGCCCGCCTCTGTCCTGTTTCTTTCTTTCTGCTGCAGGAGGAGGAGGAGGAGAAGGGAGGAGGGAGGGAGGGAAGGAGGGAGGGAGGGAAGGAGGGAGGCAGGAGGTGGGAGTTCCCCGTTCCCCGCCCGCGCTCGCGGGCCTCAGATCACACACCGTGGCCGTTCGAGGGCTCGTAGCCGTCCGTGCAGCAGACGGGACGAGGGGAAGGCAAAAAAAACACTGTGGGAAAACTACACGCACTGTGGGAAAACACACACAGGAGTGTGCGTTGTTTTTCTCCCTGTGTGTGTGTGTGTGTTTTTTTCCACCGTGTTTTTTTTTTTTTGTGTGTGTGTGTGTGTTTGTGTGTGTGTGTGTCTGTGTGTGTTTGTGCTTTTTTTTCCCACAGGTGTTGTTTTTTTGTTGCTGTGTGTTTTTTCCCCACTGGCTCTTGGACGTGTTTGGTCCCAGGAGTACCCCAGGCGCCTCCAGATGCCACGCGGCGACTCGGGATGAAAAACTGGTCCGGAGGAAGCCCCGGAATATCCAGGACCCCGTGTCCCCCAGCCTGGAAGGGATGACGCGCTGCCGGTGCGGGCGCGTTGCTATTTCTTCGTGTTTGTCCGCACGCCCTGCATGTCTTCAGCAGTCGCAATCTGATGGGTTCCCCGCCGCTGAGCTTCGTGGATACAGTCAACCCGCACAGCAGGAATGAGCAGCTTCCCGAAGTGACCCTGGCATCCTTTCCCATTCGGTCCTTCCTTGGCTGCGTTCGCTGGCCGCGCCCCGCCCTCAAAGTGCCGGCATGGCCCTCCAAGGCCCTTGCAGCATGCCGACACCTTTTCAACAAAACCTTTTAACAAAATCTTGAGGGTATCGCAAGGATTCCAAAAACGAGTGTCCCGAAAACATGTTTTAACACAAAAAACATGGTTGCGCAGCGACAGCTCCCCCCCCAAAAAAAAAGAAGATGCGCTCGCGGTCTTCTGGATTCTTGGGGGAACCATCGGTTCTTCGACATGTGTCCATGACATTATGCTCCCTCTCGCGCGTCCTTCCTCTACGGGTTGACTGTGCTCTGTCCGCTCCCTTGGTATCGCTCGGACGTGTGCACTCTTTCTCGGCGGGAGCTACTGAGGAGCAGCCTGGATCAGCCTGCGAAAAAAAAAAACACGCACGAAACCGAACAAAAAACAGGGAATGGACGTCCGAGCAATGGCCAGCCCCCCCCCTCGCGCGGCCTGCGCCTGCGCCTGCCCCCCCCCCCCCCGGTGAGGTCGTCTACTCGCCGGGCAAGCAGCTGGAGGCGGACGGGCGGCTCCACGACGCCGACGCGGAGGTCCGCCACATGCTGCGGCACAAGGCTGGGGGGGAGGAGCTGCCTCTCAACAAGCCTTCTTGAGAACATGGCAACGAGCGAGGGGGAGGGGATATGGGGACCCAAATAATATACACCACCACGACCACGTCGATTCCTCCTCTCTCCTCTACCCTCCTCTTCCTCTCCTCTTGTCTGGGAGAGGGAGGGGGTGAGGGAGGTGGTGGTGGTGGTGGTGGTGGTGGTGGTGGTGGTGGTGGTGGTGGTGGTGGTGGTGGTGGTGGTGGTGGTGGTGGTGGTGGTGGTGGTGGTGGTGGTGGTGGTGGTGGTGGTGGTGGGTGGTGGTGGTGGTGGTGGTGGTGGTGGTGGTGGTGGTGGTGGTGGTGGTGGTGGTGTGGTGGTGGTGGTGGTGGTGGTGTGGTGGTGGTGGTGGTGGTGGTGGTGGTGGTGGTGGTGGTGGTGGTGGTGGTGGTGGTGGTGGTGTGGTGGTGGTGGTGGTGGTGGTGGTGGTGGTGGTGGTGGTGGTGGTGGTGGTGGTGGTGGTGGTGGTGGTGGTGGTGGTGGTGGTGGTGGTGGTGGTGGTGGTGGTGGTTGTGGTGGTGGTGGTGGTGGTGGGTGGTGGTGGTGGTGGTGGTGGTGGTGGTGGTGGTAGGTGGTGGTGGTGGTGGTTGGTTGGTGGTTGGTGGTGGTGGTGGTGGTGGTGGTGGTGTGGTGGTGGTGGTGGTGGTGGTGGTGGTGTGGTGGTGTGGTGGTGGGTGGTGGTGTGGTGGTGGTGGTGGTGGTGGTGGTGGTGGTGGTGGTGGTGGTGGGTGGTGGTGGTGGTGGTGGTGGTGGTGGTGGTGGTGGTGGTGGTGGTGGTGGTGGTGTGGTGGTGGTGGTGGTGGTGGTGGTGGTGGTGGTGGTGGTGGTGGTGGTGGTGGTGTGGTGGTGGTGGTGGTGGTGGTGGTGGTGGTGGTGGTGGTGGTGGTGGTTGTGTGGTGGTGGTGGTGGTGGTGGTGGTGGTGGTGGTGGTGGTGGTGGTGGTGGGTGGGGTGGTGGTGGTGGTGGGTGGTGGTGGTGGTGGGTGGGTGTGGGGTGGGGGTGGGGTGGTGGTGGTGGTGGTGGTGGTGGTGGTGGTGGTGGTGGTGGTGGTGGTGGTGGTGGTGGTGGTGGTGGTGGTGGTGGTGGTGGTGGTGGTGGTGGTGGCGGTGGTGGTGGTGGTGGTGGTGGTGTATCTTTTTGGGCCCCCCAGGGGAGAGGGAGAGGGAGAAGGCCTTGTCTCAGAAGGCGGCGTGGTTGCTCAGAAGCCCTCGCGCCCTCTGAGAAGCCCTCTCCGTGTCGTCGGGGGAAGGCCTGGCCTTTCGGGAAGCCAGGGGGACTTCCGAGCCTTCCGAGAAGGCCTTCTCTTTCTTTCATTTCTCCCCCTCGTTCGCCACCGACAATAAGCCTTGGGCTAATTAGATTCGGAACGACAGTTATCGGGTTGGGAGGCTGGGGCTGGGAGTGATAACCAGATTGTTTGCATAATCGCGTATGCCGAGTATGTTTATTTAATCGCTTCGCTCATGCCGCCGGCCCTGGAGCCCTCTTTAGGGCCTCTTGGGGGCCTCTTGGGGACCTCTTGGGAGTCTCTTGGGGCTCCTTGGCGGCGTTTTGGAGGGCCCCAGGGCCTCTTGGGGGGCTCTTGGGGGTAGTCGATTGCGGCTCCCCCCTCGGAGGCCACGATCCTCGTGAGGGGTGTCGAAAAATACCCTCCCCTGGAGTGGTCTGGTGGCTTCTCCCGGGCTTCTCTCGGGACCTTGCCGGGGTACTTTTCGTCCGGGGGCCCCCAGGGGCCGCTCCGCGCGCGCGAACTAGAAATATTGTTAACAAGTTACCGGAGATCTTAGCACGCCTCTGGCCCGTTGGGCCGGCGAATTACACAGTCGTGCCCCGTATCTTCCCAACTCCATCCTCCCAACCCGAACATTGTTTTTCTGGAAGATTGGGGCCGTATCCCTAAGATTGTCATCGCCCTGGGCGCGCCAATCTCTCAGGGATTCGGGTGAGTTCAGGCTGCTACACTCCGCCCCGTTGCAGGCTGAGTTCTCGGGCCCAGTCCCCGAGATCCCGTAAATGGACAATAGATTCGAACCCTACACATTCGAGGGAGATTCCAAATCACCCCCGCGCCCCCGACATCAATGTTGATCTCAGAGAAGGCGGTGCTTTGGGGTTCGAATATTTCTGTCCACTCACGCCCCCCCCGTCGCCACGCCATCAATATTAATTTCGCGAGGTCTGGGGGGCATATTGGGCCACAGGGTTCGAATATAATGTCCATGTACTGTCCCCCCACAAAACTGTCAGCGCAAGAAAAGGACGCTCCAGGGCGCTATCAGGCGCTATCAACTCAGGAGGAGGAGGAGGAGGAGGAGAGGAGGAGGAGGAGGAGGAGGAGGAGGACGAGGAGGAGGAAGAGAGGAGGAGGACAAGAGGAGGAGGAACAGAAGAGGAGGAGGAAAAGAGGAGAAGGAGGAGGAGGAGGAGGAGGAACGACTGGGGCGTTCCAGGGCGCTGTCAACTCGGGAGGTGGAGGGACAGACTTGCGCGAGGAAGGGCTCGACCTGTGTGCACGAGGCGGGCGCGCGGGCGACTGCACCTCGCCACGAGCCCGCGCTCCGTTCGCCGCCCGTCGACGGCTCGCCCGCGCGGCCCCGAGAAGACGGCGTACCCGGCGCCCGCGACGTGCATTGCGCTGTGCTCTCTGCTCTCGAAGAAGAAAACAACAAATAATTCGGGGGAGAAAGAGATACGGATACGTGTTGTCCCCCTTCGTTTTCGGCCTTTCCTGGTCCTCCTGGGGAATCCTCGTTGTCACCGCTGGATTCGCCTCGAAATTCTGGTCAGAACGCACGCCAGGAGAGGTCCGGGGACAACACGTATCCGTATCTTTCCGCCCCCCAAATAAGAAGACAAAACGCCAGAAGCTTAAACTTTTGGCGCTCCGCGCGGATTTCTTGGATCCGCGCTGAGCCCACCCCCCGCGGCGCCTCCGGCACCGCCCACGCTCCGCACGCCAGGGGGGGGGGGGGTCCAGCGCAGATGCAAGAAATCCGCGCGGACCGTCGAAAGTTGATGTTCATGCCGCTTTATCTTCTTCTATGTTCGCATTGCGTTGCTGGTTCCCGCGGTAGCCTGGCTGGAAGATGCCGGCTCCGCAGTCGCCTGGCCGACTGCTTCCACCCCGAGGGCGGTGCGGTGCGCGACCCGGAGCTGGCAGTGACGGCTGGGTTCGGTTGCTGAAGGCAACTGGCGACGGCCTCTCTCTCTCTCTCTTTTTTCCTTGCTTGCGCGTCGTCTGGTGCAAGACACACTCGCTCGCTCGCTCGCCTCGCTCGCACGGCGTTGCCCACGACCTTCCCGCGGCGCACATGCGCGCGCGTCGACGTGCATGCAGTGCACGCTGTTGCTGGGATTTCTGCAACCCCAGGGGCGCGGGCCAGCCCTGTTCTGCTGGAGTAGTTGTCAGGTCTTCCCCATGTCGGGGGCATCCGAGGCGCCCCTTCGCCCTGCTTCGCAACCTTGGGGAGCTCACGGGCGCCAGGAAGGGGTGGCCAGGCCCGTCCGTGGGCCTCGGGCTGGTGGTTCAAAATTCCTGGCGAGCTCAGAACGTGTCTCAGAGAGGTGTGCACGGCATGCCTCGGTGCACCGTGGGCCTTGCAGGAAGGTCGAAGAGTAGCAGGAGAAGCAGGAGGAGTGATAAGGAACATCATGAGAAGAAGCAGGAGAAGGATTTGGAGGAGGGGGATGATGATGATGATGATGATGATGATGATGATGATGCTGATGATGCTGATGATGATGATGATGATGATGATGGCGTTGATGTTGATGTTGATGATAATGATGATGATGCTGATGACGTTGATGATGATGATGATGATGAATGATGTTGATGATGATGATGATGATGATGATGATCCTGATGATAGATGATGATGAAGATGATTGATATGATGTGATCATGCGATGTTGATGATGATGATAGAAGAGGATATGAAATGGATGATGATGATGATTGATGATGATGAATGAGATGATGAGATGATGATCGGGGGCGGGGGGGGGGGGGGGGGGGGGGGGGGGGGGAGGGGGGGGGGGGGGGGGGGGGGGGGGGGGGGGGGGGGGGGGGGGGGGGGGGGGGGGGGGGATGTTTGATGCAGATTGCTGATGCTGATGCAGTGGCGGAGCTGATGCTGAAGCTGATACTGATGCTGATGCTGATGAGGAGGAGTATGAGGAGGAGGAGGATAATGAGAAATATGAGAATAATGAGGAGGAGGAGGAGGAGGACAAGGAGGGAGGAGGAAGAAGAGGAGGAGGAGGAGGAGGAGGAGGAGGAGAGGAAGAGTAGGGAGGAGAGAGGGGGAGGAGGAGGAGGAGGAGGAGGAAGTGGAGGAGGAGGGGAGGGGAGGGGGAGGGGGAGGGGGGGGAGGAGGAGGAGGAGGGGGGGGGAGGCGGAGGGGGAGGCGGGGGAGAGGACGAGGAGGAGCAGGAGGCGGAGGAGGCGCGGCATGAGGCGGAGGAGTCGGGCGGCGAAGGAGGGCGGCAGGCAGGTGAAACCCACACAGCTGTTGGGGGAGGAGAGGAGGAGGAGGAGGAGGAGTCAGAAGCAGTGTCGGTCGAGCAAGCACTCGAAGCTCCTGGGGGTCTTGGTTCCAGGCACGCCGCCGCGCGCCACCCTCCCTCCGTGCATCGGTTGCGAGCGACGGGGGGAAGTGAGAAGGAGAAGCCTCCTCCTTCTCCGAGAAGGCCTTCTCCGAGAAGGCCCTCTCAGAGGGCGGCCTGGCTTCTCGGAAGCCCACCGGCCTTCTGAGCAGTTTTGTCGTGTCGTCGGGGCAGGCTCAGAAAGCTCTTCAGAAGGCGGCGGGACTTCCGAGCCTTCCGAGAAGGCCCGTCGCCTCTCGCTTCCCCACTCGGCTCGCCGCCGAGTGTGGGCGGCACAGTCGAAGTCGGTGGTAAGGACGGGGAACCTTTCCAAGGGTACCCTTGCATCCTTGCGCCCTCGGTCCATCCTTAACCCTTATGCGATGCCCAGCCCCGCTCAGAGAGCTTCGACATGGGCGTCCCAGAGGCCTGCATCCTTACCGCGCATCCTGACTATCAAGTTTGTTTTCTGCTCGTGCCTTGATTGTTCTCAGCATCGGGCGGCCGTCTGGGACTTTTGCCTCGCCGCACGGGCTGCCAGTGCCGTGGCCTCGCCAGGGGCAGAGTGGCGAACGGCAAGAGCAATGGGGCAAGGGGGAGCGATAGCGCCAGAATCTGTCTGGAGCGGGAGGCCTCGTGGACGAGGCTGCCGGACTGCTGGAGTCGGGACGAGAGGCAATCCCGTCTCGAGCCAGACTGGCCGCGGAGGAGGAGGAGGAGAAGGCGGAGGAGGGATAGCAGCAGCAGTAGGGGGATGAGGGCGGCAATGATGGCGGTGAGGAGAAGCAGCAGCAGAGCTTGCGGCGTAGCAGCAACAGCAGAACATCTGGAAACGAAGCGGGGGAAGAGGGAGAAGGGGGAGGACGAGAAAAAGGACCAGGGGGGAGGAAGGGCGGGGAGAGCGAGAAGAAGCGGACGGGCGCAACGACGAGCAGGACGCGGAGGAGCAACAGTGGCGCGAGGACTGGAGGCGCAGTGCGCCCCGCCCTTCCGCGAGGGCCACTCTGAGGAGGACATCCGCCGCATCATGTCCCACACCGCCCCGGGCACCGTGGACGAGCGGCACCAGGAGCAG